ACCTTGTTGGATATGAAGTGATCATAACCAACTCGCGCTACGCGCTCGTTGGTTATTTATCACTTCATATCCAACGCGGTTTCATGGAATAATTGTTAACTAGACTAAAATAAAAATGTCCCAAAAGTCACTCTTAGGCTTACCATATTTGTAGAGTGTGGTATAATGGCTCAGCCAATAAAAACTCTCAAATTGCATTATCCAATGATGCAGTTTTTAATAAGAGCAATTGTGATATAGCTGGAGTTAAGGTGGCTCCATAGGTAATCATTTATGACATTGCGCCTGCAAGTGTTATGTTTTGAATGACGTTTTTGCATTCGCTTTCACACCTAGTCTTCTCAGACTTATTACATGTAATAAGCAATGATCAACTAGTGTTTTGCTACCATCTCTGTTAAAATTTTGGGATTTAGTCTTAAATTATAAATGCCCAAACAAATGTGTTTTTTACTGTTTTTATGGCTTTATTTGTGATTTTCGTGAATTCCCTTTGGTGAAATCTTCCAAAATTTTTACACCACATTGCTTCCAGCGGGATCTGAATTTTAAACACGAAAAAAGTAGGGTTTGTAAAGGCAGCTTTTTTGATATTTTCAAATTTATGTCTTTTACNTAATAAAATATCGAAAACCACTGACGTTTTCCTTTGAGTGTGCACAGATTACTTCCTCAGCGCTCGTGCGATTGTAAAACTATAGGGAGCCACCTTAAGTTGCCTCTAACTCGCGTTCTTATTGGTTGATTTATGGCCACACGGCAATGGCTAAACCCCGGCAAACAACAATGAATGTGCTCCCCCATTAACCATAGGTTACTTTGACTTCTCCTTACATTTTGTACCTCATTACTTAACTCCACCTACATAACAAAACACTTTATTACTGGTCCCTTGGGAAACAGTTAGAATCTCAAGTGAACAAAACTAACTGTTTCCCTCCAGACCAGTAATTAAGTGTATGCAATTTATACCATACTCTACATATATGGTAAAAGTATGCATATTTTTTTCGGAGCATTTTTATTTTTAGTTTAGTTTTCTATATTTTGGAGGTGTTATTAATGAAACAATAATTATTCTACTTGCACTTGTAGGATATGAAATGATAATAGCCAACTTGGTGCTAGGTACTTTGTTGGTTATCTGTCTTCTCATATCCAACACATGATTGTGGAATGATTGTTAAATATACCATGGTGGCTCAATAGGAGTTAGACAGGACCAGCAAGTGAGCTTTATTATAAAAAGCCTTGGTTAACTGTTTATCCTAGATTAATGTCAGTTGGCAACTTACACTGTACCTGTACTTTACTTGTCCTTGCCTGGTGCCTGACATTTCTGTTTGTGCCCAGCTTTCCAATCTTGAGCTTGACATTTCTTCCCACAGTAGTAAACACTTTTACATCCACCACATCTCCTGAAGTCACCTGGCTGACTCTCAAGCTGGCCGCAACCTTGGCAGGGCTGGCATTCAAATCGGATGTTGTCTTTCTTCTCTAACTCAGCAAACTCATGGATAATGCTCATCAGCAGGATTGGAACTATCCGGTGACATGCCATCTTACAAAGTAAGGAGAGTCTGAGGCATTCGGAAAAGATCTCGTCTTCAATTGGCATGATGGTTCCAGATATGAACTCTTCATTTAGGACAATGATGTCATCAAAGAAATTACCCTCCTGATCCTGGAAAAGATCTCCTTTCAGCATTATTTCTCCATTAGGAAGGCACTTGTAGAAAGGGATAGGATTCTTATCACCAGACAAAACGCCAACCAAATGCTGCCAAAACTTGTGACTATCTGTACATGGGCAAGAATCACCACTGCACTTTGCAGGAAAATGGGTTTCTATTTCAATGTCATTCTCAGATTCCTTTGATAATTTACTCTGGGTGACTGGGATGCTTGATTTGGTTTCCTCACAGTTAGTCACCTCCTGGGACTCAAAACATTCTTCATCATAGCTCAGGGTTGCACTGCCCTCACTTTCCTTGCCATTAGTCATCTCTTGCTCTGATGTGCTTTCCCCTCCATTATTTTCATCAATCATCTCCATTTGCTTGAAAGTCTCACAGCAAGCTTCAAAGAGACACTTCTTGTCTGTTGTCAACATTTTCTTTCTTTTTGCATTTGACAGGAGCCTCCATTTTCGCTTGAATTGCTGAGCCATGGTAGGAGCAACAGTTTTCCTCAAGAGATCCATGCTCACATCTTTCTCTGTGAGTTCTTCGGATGGTGTTGATTTTGCCTCATCTTTAACCAGCTTCTTGAACTCTGTTAAAATCTTATTCATCTTTGAGCGAAACAATTCACACAGCTTCTTTACATCTCCTTGACCGAGTTTGCTGCTACAATGCTTTACAAGGGCTTCTCCCAACACAGTGGTACAGGAATTCACCCATTCATTCACATCAAGTTTTTTGTTGACATTCAGTAATTCAATGAACCGTGGAACTGCTTCAGTCTCCGTTGCTGCCGTCATGGGGTTTGTGGGTTTGATTCTCCAATACAGGACAGTAAAGGAATGCTCTAGAAAGGTGTGGAGAGCTTCTCTGAAGCAGTGGCTAGCAGATGTCTCAAAATCTTTGTTGACGCCAAATTTGTAGACTGCATAGAGCAATTTTGCCACGTTCACACGAACACCTTTATGTCCAAACTCGCCATTGGCCTCTTTGTCGAGACAAGTCAACACATTTAGACCTTGGCGTTTCTTTCCTGAAGATGCAGGACTCAAGCAAGTGTCACACTGGCTCTTTGGTGTCAATCTTGCATCAATTGTGCTCTGACCAATGCACATCCCTCTACCCGAGAGATTGCTAAGAGTTGAATCCAAGATGACTTCAACCACGACATTGTCTTCATCAAGAACTTTTCCTGCTGTCTTGTCTCTTTCGAACCCCTGCCAAGCTTCCACCATAACCACAGCTCTTCCAGGATCACCCATCCAAATGTACCATAGGGCTTGAACCTTGGCCATTCCACTAAATCTCTCGTAGTTCAGGGGGGTGGTAAACCTCTGAACTGCAACTTTCTTCCACGATTCAGTCTCCTCCTGGTTTCTACTCCACTGGCTGGCCTGTTGCATGAGCCCGGACATGAAGCTTGCCTCTTCCATCATAGCACCCAGATTAGTCATGTTAAGGGTGGGTGGGCGAGGTGGAAGAGGGCAGTCATGATACAACAGCTCCGACCTTTCCAGCCACCATGCTTCTAGTTCTCCTCTGTGACCACTGAACTTGGTTCGATCAGGCTTTCGGGGACCTTTTCCAAGTTTAGCATCAAAGAATTCCTCCACAGTTTGATAGGGGCAGTTCTTGGCGACTTGTTTGAAATACTCAAATGCGCTCGCTGTGTTAGGGTCAGGGAAGCCCAGGCCCCTCTCCATAGCTTTCTTCTGTAGCGGCAGCACGAACATCGCTGAAACTTCTTCGACGGGAACAGAAATCATTCTGATGGTTCTTCCTCTTGAAAGTTCGATGTGCGTCTGCATAAAACGAAGAGCTTCGCCTTCCTTTAAGTTTGCGTTGCAGAACCCGTCTCTTATCTCACCGCCGACGTAAATCAAGATGTTCGCGTAGTCGAAAATGGGTTTGGAATTTTTCCGCTGTCTTCTAATCATGGCGTATATAGACACATTCCCTCTTCCGTCAACATTCGATACGCATGCCACACCATACTTGTACTTGAACAAAGTTTCGGTGGTAAATTCTGGGGATGAATAATGCCCGGACTCGTAGCCGTCCGGCCGGGAAGCCATCTTGCTGTCACTTTCCGTGAACGCGTGCCTGGCGTACCACGTGAGTATCAATTCCCGCCAAACTTCACTAGTGGGGGTACGTGAGACAGCTATATCGGATAGAGCAATATTCACGACCAGACACTTCCCTAAGTGTAAGTCAACATGTTTAAAATAAGTTAAGATTGTTTATATAACCAGCTGATAATTCCTTCATCCTTTCTATTCGTATATCCTTTCCTTTCGCTTCCTCCCTTCGAGACCCTACTAAGTATCAACAGGGTGTCCGGGCCATCATGCTCTTTGCGCAGGAATACTCAAGATTTTGGCGCGAAAGCCCTGGCGGTGACACGGAGGTTGGGAACGGCCAGCGCGAAATTTTGAAGAAGAGTGAAAACTTTCAAAATGGCTCACGGTATAAAATTCAATTCTAAAACTCTGTCCAAAACTAAGCATGGTGTAGCTTATGTGTCAAATGTGGACGGGAGAGGCAATTTCTCTGTTTGTGGAATCTTCAACAGGGGAGAAAAATCTTCAACGTTGACATATGACCTCGTCAATATTCTGTGCTACGTTGGAGGTGAAATTCGTGATGGCTTCTTCGTGGAAAAGTTACGAGAACATGAGTTAGTTCCAATACTTCAACGTAATTTCAGTATGGCTGCAGGAAAAGCAATATTTCAACCAGCTCCCATCGAAGAGGCAGCGAAGCTTTTGGTCGTTTCTTGCTACGAAAAGGCGAAAGCTAGAGGAATTGTTGACCTTTTCGTTAACAGGGAAGTGAAACGCAGTTTTGAATTTTTCGAGCGCGTTTCCCAGTTATGCAGCTACACTGACGAAGAAGAATTTATCATGGCTAAAGGAGGAAGTCAAGTGAAGAAACCTTTCACGCATTTTGACCTTCACCGCCCCGAGTTAAATGCATGGTGGATGGAGAGGTCAGAATTAGAGCATCTAGAGTGTTCCTTACCCCCTGTCCCTATAACATTTCCCGAATCTGGAAAACTCCTCCTCAGTGGCGATAGTATGATTGATTTCATGAGTGCAGCCAGCAAACAAAGGAGCGAAATGTCGACGTGGAAGAAGAAAACGCTTGAAAAGCTAAGCAATCCGGTAAATTTTGACAGACTTTGTGGTATGTCTCAGCACCAGGCTCTGTGGTACACCTGGAAAGGTGATCTGGAGATGGGCATCACTATGCTTGACTCAGCGAAAAAAATTCGCGTTGATCAGAATGCAGGAAGAATGCTTAGTTCAAGGATCCCAGCTGTGGACCTCTTTCTGAGCTTGACGCAGATCAAGTTGGCAAAGATGGGACAGTGTGAAGAACAATCCAACAAAGTTAATTGGCAGCTGCCAGAGGGCTGTGTGTCTGAAACTTGTCATACATCGGCATCAAAAGATGGAGATTATAAGGAGTGCCTCCTTGGAACTTGCACTTTACCATGTGTGGATAAAAAAGGAAAAGGAAAAATTGGAACAGAAAACACCAGAAAATCTCTTATAGCAGCCCTTGCCGTGGTAAGGAATGTTAAAAGTAAAGAAGAGTTGAAAACTTGCCTTGAGTATAATCTTAAAGGGAGTCTGGAGGTCTTTTTACAGCACTCATTTGTGAGATTGTACTGGAAGAACAAACCAACTCTCCCCATGACAGAATCCCTCATTGAAGAAGCAGTGATTAAGTTTGTCGATGCAATTGACTGTGACAATTTTGATCCCTATGATTGGGTAGAATCCTGTGCTGCTATCTTGGAAGAGATGATGGCCAAGTATTGCCACACAAAGCTTTCAGAAAAGGACATCAGTGAGGTTGGACAGCTCTTTAAGGAGGCTTTCAAGACTCAGGTTGTCCAAAAAATCAAAAAAATTGAAGAACTGCCTCAGTACTCAAGCCTCTGTGACAATGAAGCCTCTCTGCACCAGCTAAGTTCTGTCATGCTGGCAAGGGCCATTGCCCCTTCAGTTGCTAGCCATTTTCTCTTTAAATGGAAAACCATGACACTTACTGAGAAGAAGAAGAAAGCACCTACTGTAAGTTTCAATGATCTCCTTGCTGCAACAAAGAAAGTTTATTACAACTATTCAAGGAAGGGAGTTGCCCAGTGTATTAATGAAGACCTCAGCTCCTCACAAGCACGTCCCAAGAAAGAGTGTACATGCAAGGACTTGGCCAAATTTCAAGACCATGTTATTGATTTATTGTCAAGTGGACACAATCCTGTTTCATTTCTGAGTTGTTCTCCACAAGGAACTGTCACTTTAAGTGAAGGGCTGATCATGGACACTTCAGGACAGCTGATTAACGACATAATTTTAAGCTGTGATATGTATATGTACGAGAAAATCATGGACCCTGATAACTTGAAGGAGTTTGCCAATTGCCCCAGACTTGCATGTTTATGCCAGTTTGCCTGCTGTGAGATGTACACCATGCTGAAGGTTAAGCTAGTGATGTACTTTAAGGAAATTTCATGGAAAGAAAGTGCCGAGTTTGAGACTCATTGCTGTGCATTTTGTAAACAAATGGTCAAAGAAGGTGTCACTTTGAAAAAGTGCAGTGCATGCAAAGCTGTTGTCTACTGTTCCCCCCAGTGCCAGAAGAAGGACTGGAAAGCTGATCACAAACAAAAGTGCCATATCCTAATGAGGCCTTGAGGTATGTTGAATTCATATTACATTATTTGTATTGATAGGTATGGAGTTAAATATTAATATGGTGCTAGTGCCATTTAAGAATCGGGCTCTTGAGTCACTTAAGAGCCTGTCGACAGTGACGCGCTGACCATCGCCTCTCCGAGACGAGGATGCCATATATAGTGCCATTTAGGCATTAGTGACATGCATAGTTGGTGATTAATAAAAGGGTTGGGATTGATCTTTTCTCCTAAAAATTAATATGAATGTGTCTACCTTTACATGTAATCAGGACTCTAAAAAGGTGTCATCTGGTCGTCCAAGACAAGTAGATTTTCCTGCAGGAAAAAATCTTAAACTAAGACTTGTCCAGATAGGGCAACCAAAATTTGAGAGTTAATTGTCCAAAGGGCAAGCTGGGATTCAATTTTTTTTCAAGTCCTGGATGTTGAAGAGGGACTAAACTAATACACGTCATCATTCCCTCAAAAGCTCTCATCCTTAGCATTTTGTGCTAATCTATGTTTAGAATGTTACTGGCTCTTTATTTCTGTGATTCATAGCTGGCTTTCATGTGCAATTTTAAAAGTTACTTTACAAGTGTTTTCATTGTTGGACATCATCATGTAGGTACCACAGTCATTAAGGTTTTACACCTGATGCAACATAAATTGCCACAAACATCTCACACAGAAAGCCAAACATTGTAGTTCGGAGCTGTTTTATTTTCCCAAGGGAGCACATTTAATGTAATGATGGCTTTTGTCGATAGCAACCTATATTAAATACAACTTTTATCTCTCTTCCCATTTTCTGCTGGTTACATATGTTGTTCTTGTCTTCATATAATAACCACAAACGTATATGGCACTTCTGTTGAGCTCAAGCAGCAAACAGCTACTTAAATTGAAGATCTTTAAGAATCCCTGGAGATCCTTGAAAGATTTTCATCACAGATACAAAGCTGTCATTAAGTTTTGAGTCCACTGTAGCCTTAATCTTCACATCCATGACAGAATTGTTACCTTTTGAGTGAATTGTATCAACTGCAGGCAAGTTCACCTGTAACATCAAAGGTCCATCAAAAACACTCGGCTAGAGGTTACGGCCCTTTCTGACAGCTCTGCAGATAGTTGCCTAAATTTCAGGGTGTTAGTGTTTTACACAAGAGGCAAAGCTATAAAAAGGCAGACAAATATGTAAAAACAGGTAATAAATCATTAAGTTTCTTATACATGTATAAAAGTATCTCTAGACATCTCTGCCAGAGGGCTGCCAGGGAAACTCTTGGACAGCCAGCTGAGCTGAGCTGGCTTTAGAAGAAACCAATTATGATGGTAAATGGTAGGTAATATTAATCTAGTACCAATCATTTGAAGTTCTCACATTCTTTGACATACCGTCCATACATTATTTTTATATCACTGAAAATTGACATTATACCTTTTGGGTATACTGTACTAGTGCAGAAATTTATTCCTTATTTTCCAGGCACTGTCATTATCAAAGCCTAACTTGCAACCAATTTAAAGGTGGCTTTCGATGTTTGATTCCATTGATCAAGGTCCTAAAAAGTCTAAGAACAAACAATCAATTTCTTTGTTCAACATTGGAAAGATACAGCTGTGTGAAAACATTTCTCAAGAATTATTTGTTGCAGTTTATTCAGAGCTGGAATTATTTAAAATAGTGACTAGTCATGATTTTTTTTTTTCTGACTTATGCTATTTGTTATCATACACAGCACAATTATTGTTATACAGCTTAAGGCCTGCATAATTTAAGAAGAGTATGCTTTTGAATGTTTATACTGACTTGTTTAGTGATAAGATTTATGTTTTTTAACACAATGCTATATATATTTATGTAAATTTGAAATAGAGATACTGATGGATTAGTCACATTATTATAACTATCCAAAAGTACAAAAGCATCTTGATATAGCCTGAAACCTTTAACAGTTTTGTTAGTTTCTTGTATCACTGATTTACAACTGTAAGAGCACCCATCTGAGTGTCATTGCAACTGATAGCTCTTTTATTTCTGTAATGTTTCATTCAGTAATATGAGATCATTTGTTGTGAGATACATGTGTTTATATCAAGACAAATACTTTGCTGTACTTTAGAAACTTTTTTGTGACTTGGTTCAATACAACACAACACAATTACCATGGCAGTACTACTGAACAATTATTCCATGAGTGCCCGTTGGATATGTGTTGGCTATAATCATCTCATATCCAACAAGCACAAGTGGAATAATTGTTTTATTAAAAACGCTCCCAAAATATAGAAAACTTAACTAAAATAAAAATAAAAACGCCTGAAAAAATCCTGCATACACTTAACATATTTGTAGAGCATGGTAAAATGGTTCATAACCCATGATGGCTAAGCCAATGAAAACTCTCGAATTGCATTATCCAACGATCCAGTTTTTAATAATGAATATATTGCAGTCATTATATTAAGTATAATGTGGTCCTGCTTTGAGCCATACTCAATGTAGCAAAGATGATGCAACACATTTAACTTTTGAGTGAGTTGTAAAATAGAAGCCTGTGAGCCTTTTGGCTAGCAAACAAAAGTCTTCCTCTTCACAGAGGTTTTTGTACAGATTAGTGTCGCAACTAGTGGCAATTCAGTTTCAATTTTTTGGGACATTTCTTTAATTCTTAGTAAAATTTCTTTACAATAAGACTTGAAGTAAAACCTTCCGTTACTAAACCTGGATTTACGAGATATTTCATGTTTGTACAAGTCTGCATTTTCCTCAAAAGAATACTGGGATCAAAATCTATCTATCTTATCTAAGTTGGCAATATTCTTTTGCTGGGGGAAGGTGAAATAAACAATTTCCCTAATTATTGTTATAGTTACAACGTGCGCTGTTCCTGAACCCGTCAAACACACATAGAGCTAATGTAAACATCGTACTAAGTTCGTCTGTAAGTTACAGATCCTCGTATTTCCCCTTTGGTTTCTGCAGTATAACCCGCGCGCTTCGCGCTTGGGCCATAAACGAAAACGGTAAAAAAATCGGGTCCGAGAGGATGTGGCTAGTAAGAGGTGTGCATAATTGTGGTGGCGTTGAAATTGAAGATTGGCGAACAACTGGCAAGCAAGCCTCACCACCGTCTTTTACCAAGTTCATTTCCCTTTTACAGCCGGTTTCTTGAACAATGCGGCAGACAGTTAGGAACCGATCGGTTAACACAGTTCCAACCTCCTAACTATGTTCCAACGAAAAGAATTACAAGAACAATCTATTAAAGCAAACTTTCATTATGAACGATTAGTATGAAGGTAAAATTCATGTAAAATACAAAAGCTGATATCTTTTCATACTGTCACTAGCAGATTTACCGTCTTGTCATTTCTGTATTGATCAATATTCAGGATTGCAAACCGAAGCCGATAGTACTTGAGAATTTTTTAAGACAGAAGTTCTCTCATATTTTCATCATTCAGAACAACGTAAATTTATACACCGGTACTTTTACTCAATGACACCGTTTCCTTTAGTCTAAAAATATTTGACTCCTCGTTTTGAGCTCCCTTATTTCAGTTATAATTCCTTTGTTGTTTATTCCGTTTTGCGGAAGTTCTCCTTCCGATTGTTAATTCCTAATGAGGACAGGTTTAATTCAAGGGGTTGGCCTGCACTTAGTATAATAACGGAATTGTTCTGAATGGAATGAACCGATGTTTGACCCTTCTCCCTTTCGTCTGTCGGTAGAAGAGTCATGTAGTACAAGATCCCAGTTTTTGTTACCGCAATCCAAGGGATGTTCTCTTGGTCTTTGGAGTCTTTAAAGTACGTTCCCGGCAGTGTTGTCACTGTACCATCTGAAAACGTATCTTCACACTGTCCAGCTAGCACTACAGCAAAAACCCACGTGTAAGAACCTAGTTTAAGAACCTGCTGGCAGAAGTTTACCATTTTAATACCCAAAAATATAAGAACCTGTTTAGCCAAGCAAGATCAAGCAGGTTCCTATATGTGGGTTTCAGCTAAATTATAATGAACATTTTAACCAAAGAGGACTTTGAGTTTGCAAATTTCTATTACAAGAAAATACATAATACAGTTGCGAATATATACTGTTTGTCTGTATTTAAGGACCAAACCCATCGAAAACCAAAGTTTATTTATTTTTCTGGTTATCAACAACTACATCTCCTTCATAGAAATTAAGAACCTAATTAAAGAACCTACTTAGCCCCAACTGCCAATAACTAACCCAAAATACAGGAACCTATTTTGGCCAGACTTCAATAGATATAACAATGAAGCAAGGCTGATACTAAAAAATGTGGGTTCTTAAAGGCAGGTTTTTACTGTACTCTAAATCGAATACATATGCTCAGGAATAAAAATACTACTTCTGTGAAATATAAATCTCACTGACCAACAGACAAATGCAGCTGGGCTAGCCTTTAATACTTACAGTAAATCAAATGGCCAACCAACTTAGTCAGAAGGAGAAAGTAAACACTCAGGGTAAAATTGAAGTCCTTGTCCTTTTTATGGCTTTCATTGTAGGCCCCACACTTCATTATCACTTCACTGTATGTCTCATTCTGAAATGTGTTCATCGTCATTAGCTAGAACTGATTTTATCTAAAGCTCCCTAGACATGCACGATTACAGGTATGCGGCAACTGTTTTCAGTCACACATGTCCTAGATTAATTGCTACCAAGGCGTACATCTGTTTATCTGTGGCAGACTCTGATCTGTTTTGAACGATTACCTTCTTGTTCGTCAGTGCGATGTTCCGATTGTTTTTGTTTAACCTGCCAAGTTTACTGAAACTCTCCAAGAGGCTCTTGAAATCAAGTGATAAAACCGCGTATTCTCACTCTCGGTCATTTAATTATCGATATCTCTAGTATTTATCTTGAACGTTGCTCTACATTCCGTGACCTTGTGTGGCAAGACAATTAACGAGAGAGCTTAGTTTCTCCTGGATTTCGTGCTAAGAGTCGAATAAGCACTTTTAAAAGTTCAACAGAAACTGAGAGACTAATCCGGCCATCTTCAAACTTTTGGCAATCACGGACAAGCACAGTGGGTGAGTCTTAAGGGAGGTCGTACTTAGAGCATAAGAAGAGAGAGGTATAATGACATTTTCTCTCCTTTAGAACTTGGGATACTAAGTTTACCTTAGCCTCAGGCAATGTATTTTATCGTTTAAGAACGCCGACATAACCCATCATCACAGAGTGCCAATAATTAATCATTTCGGTTTGTTTGACCCCTTAAACTATAATTACACAGAGTGTTTTAATAACTGTACGGTTTGTTATGAATAACTTTAATTTACAAGAGGACTATTAGCAAAGCAAACAACCAACCTTTCAGCGACCAAACGAATTAGAGTCGCAGACTTGTTCCTGCGGAAATCGGTAGTGGCTTGGAAGAAGTTCAAGAGGAGAGACGGATCGGATGAGCGCTGTTAATAAGCTGGTTGATGGGCTTTATGTTTGAGCACGGGAAACTCCCGCCTAATACTCGCAGCATTCAAATTCTTATCTCTGCACCTTGCCAGTTAAAAACCCATGAATCTGTATGGGATTTAATGACAGATTTTTCTCACTCTGTGGAGATTCTCGTGAGTCAGTGTGAGGTTTTTCCCCAGCTGATGAATTATACGCCGGCATGGTGTCTAGGCTTGGGTCGCACGCAGTACATTTATCCGGGAGTCTTACTGTGCGATCATAATCCTTGTTACGCGTACTTCCGTAGAAAAAGTGGTTCTGTCTCGCGATCGTGACCAGTTTATTGGATTATGTACATTTTTCAGCTTGCATAACTGGCGGTCTTTCTTCGTGTGCGCATTTTCAGATTCCAAAAAAAGAAAACTAATTTTACAGGTCTCATTTTTGACACCCATAGAAAATAAAGTGTTCTCCATTTCTTGCTATGCCTTTTCTTCTGACTAGGCTATGATTCATCCCTTGAAGTAATTAATTTTGGGCTGTGTCGTGTTTTGGATTTTTATCCGCCCATAGCCAAACTTTTGTTGCGTGCTGTTACTGAAGTAAAAATATGCATATCGTGCAGTCATTTACACACTTTGAACAATGCGATCTTTGCGGTTAATGGACAAGATTTTTTTTTCTTAGGGAAAGTTAATTCGGTCTGGCGTGTACGTGCCTGTGAATAAATAAAAAGAATAAAAAATAAAGAAATACTGAAAATACGAATACAAATAAATACTAAAATAAATAAAAAGGAAAAACAAACTCGCAAAAATCAAGAGTAGTTTCTTTTTTCAAAGATTTGCTGGCAGTGCAGCGCCTATACAGGTTACCTGTAGTAAGTGAGTATTTTAGATTATGTGAAGGAAAGCTTGGAGCAAAAAAGGCCGGCCTAAAGGTAGCAGTCTTATAATATCACGAAAACGACTGATCAACGCCACTTTGCCATCCACTCCTTCAACTGAACTAAATAGAACTTTCCGTCTCAGTCAGTTTTACTACTGTCATTCCTCATTAAACTAAGTAGAAAACTGAAGATGATTAATGAGGACCGGAAAACACTTCGAAATGGTGAGTTTCACCTACTGCCAACTTTGTTTTTCGAAGTGAAGATGTTTAAATTGAAAAATACTCGATCCACTTGATGTGTAATAAACTTGAGGTCAGCAAGCATCATCTGGCTCTTGTCAACTTCTATCCCCAACTGTTTACTGCAGTGTTGGACAGTGTGTTAGATGCTGGGCTCAAGGCGTACTGTTCCCTACGCAATCGGAAGTTCTCAGTCGGATTGAAAGGCCATTACTATTCCCTTGATCGCTAGGATATCATCTCATAGCCGGCTTATTCACTTAAACTTGGCTTCTACAGTGATTTGAGCACGTGAAACACACAGGGCATGGCATGTCGCGCTGCGCTATGAAACGTTTCTTTCTCGATTCATGTTCAGTTGTTGGATCCAGACCAGTTCCTTTACCCGCTCCGTGTGAGCTTTTCTCCGGAAACACCCTGCAACGGTACACGAGAAGCTGAAACTGCCTGCGTGAGATATCCCGAGTCACTGCTGAGTGCATGGACAAGTGAATGAAGTCTGACTGATCAGTTTTTAATCAATTCTTTATCCAGCCGTCTTTTCTCGGCAAGAATTCAAGTTTGACAAAGGACCAACTCGGAGTTTTGCGCGCGAAGAAGCCGAAAAGCTTATTACATATAGAGTAACTTATGAGCTTCGAAATGTTAGTAAGCTTGCAGATCTTTTTGAGCGCTTTCAAGGCTTGCATTAGTACGAGGAAAGATATGCTGAAGAGTAAAGTCCAATTTAAAGGAAAAAGAGACAAACAGCAATCGTGACCAGTGAGTAATTAAAACAGGTCAATCACGTGATCATGCATAGCTGCCGTAGCTCGGTAACCGAGTGCCCTTAAATCAAATGCACCAGATTCCTTACTTTGTTCTCTTTAAATTGAAGATGGAGGAATTTTGACAGAAGTGTTGTGATATTCATTGTCGATGGCCAGAATCCTTGTAGGTGTGGCTGTAAAAGGCTAAAAAGGTATTCTAGGTGGTGCCATGGTGAGGCGCTTTTGATCAGTTGCATTGCTTTAAAATTTAAAGGTAGGAATGTTAAGACGCCATACAACTGTTGCGTTACTTTTCTAAAGCTTACAAAACAACTGAGTATTTTAATCGTGCAGTAAGCCAATGACGGAGTATGCTGTAACATTAACTCTACTGAAAGCAGTTTAAACGAAATGACAGCAAAACCATCTTGACACTCAAAGACAATATTGACTTTGATCTCGAAAACTGAGAAAGTTTGGCAGCACATGTCAGGGGCACTCAGAATGCTCCATCCTGGAGCATTCTTCACTTTTTTAGTAAACATTTTAGTTTATGACGACACAAATATTTAACAAGTCTTCTGTTTCAAGCGTCTTATTCAAGTTTTCAATTGTGTCTAGAAAAAAAGAAAGAAGTCTTAGAAGAAAGGCACTTCATCGGTTCCTCGTTTATTTTCCCACGGTATATTCGATCCATATTTACTTTTCTTCAATGGCAAGAAAAATGCCAGCTATTGAGTCTAAATTGGGCCTAAGTGATTGCCCTGTGTTGTGATCTGTTTGCTGCTGTTTTAAGAAAGCGATAAAGTAAAACAGGCAACATATCAAACAAACAGCCTAATCTATTTCTAGACCGAAATCTTCTTAAAGCTTAAGGAACGATTTAGAAAAAAAAATCCATTATAATACACGGCTGAGATCAGACACAATCGCCTGAAATAGGACACAAGGCAGTTCCAAAATACCCCGGATGAACTCAAGGAAAAACAAATTCCGAAGTAGCTTCCCGTTTTCGTACTTCAAAAAAGCATAAATATTTACTGAAAGGTTGAGTAAAGCTAATGAATGTGGCTAGCTGTGGGAACATTGAGGCGTTACTTTCCCACGCTAGGATCGCGTCTTCGAAAGTGTGATGACTTTAGCGTTGTAACTTTATTCTGTAGATGAAAAAAAAAAAATGCTCAGAGTCAACTGACAAGTCAACCTCTAAGCTTGTGAATGCAAAAGGTCAGTTTATACTGAGCTAATGCGGCAATTTATGGTCTAAAATTATGTTGTTTATATTTCGGGAGTTACTTGGGGATTTCGTTTTGTAGTGAAGTGCAAAGGAAAACTATTCAGTCTTAGCACTTTTTGAAGCTTTTACAAGAGCTAGACTGAATACGTTTACTAACGGAACGTGACATCAGTGGCAGCTTGTTGTCATGTTGCTTTGGAGACCAAAGTATTCCAGCTTACAATGTTTTTGGAAATTTTTAGGAAACGGTCCAAGAAGATAAAAGAACAATTCAGTATGTGGCTGAATGTGCTTTGATGATTCTTGTCATTCAAGGACAATTTTAAACGTACGTGATTTTGTCAAGAACGCTAAGTGAATGCTTTTGGGTAAAATCCAGAAAAAATTGCCATCATGGAGTCATCCTCTATTTATAGATTTCTCAACTCAGGAAAGAAGCATTCAACAGGATGCGCATTTGATGATGTTCTAGTTGTGAATCGTGTTTCAGTGTTTGTTGTAGCAATTAGAACAAGACGTGGAGCGACTTTGTTGAAATGTTTGATTTGCGTGCAGCCGTTTGTATTGCCAAGGGCACTTTCTTCCCTTATTCTGTCCTAACCTGCAAGTATGCGCAATTTTCCTCGCTTTATGAGATTTAATAAACACTGACCACAATCTCTAAGACTGTCCAGTACCGGCTTTTCAAAGCGACTCTTTTACACTATATTTCCCGGCTCATGTCGTTATTTTTAGGCCAACTATTTGAGACGAATATAATATGTGAAACTAAGGGGATTGACGCTTAAGTGACTGACTGATCGAGAAAGCTGGAAGTTCGTCAAGGAAGGATTACTAAACTGAGCTCTGTGATTCCTGAGACAGCTTAAATCTTGATCGCTTGGAATTCGCGACAGATTCCATTTGGTCTTACATTCTTCGTAGCGGTGAGCTGTCTGTGCGCTTCACTAAGGGTGAAATTATAAACTTGTAGAAATTATAAACTCCCCAGGATTATTCAGTTAAGAGTGAAATAAACCTCTGTTTAATTTACATCAAAACGTATCTACTCGTTTTTTTTTTCCCTCAGTTCTTTCGAAATGATTGAATTACGTAATCCAATTTTCTCCGTTATGACACCTGACAATTTTTTTTTTTCAAACAATTCTTAAAACTTCCCAGCTTTGAACAAAAAGAAGGAAAAAAAATCGGTGACAGCAATTCAAAAGTATCTGAAAAATGCAGGCTATCCACTGACCTCCGTTTTGAGGGTTTTAAAAGGAAATCAGGGTTATATAGGAGTTAAAATCAAGTCACCCCATATCTCATCTGTCCTTATTAAAACGCGTCGGGACAGGAATCGTTAGTAAAATGAGAATAGCAGTTTCATTTACTTCATCACCAAGGCCACTGTTAGCCAGGTGTTAAACGGAAAAACTCGATCATCGGAAGGAAACTTTTACTTATCCAAATTGTCAAACAGGCAGCATTTCGCCACCACAGCTCTTGACCTCTGAACCTTCTTTGTCTGCTGCTAACACTTTTGATAATTGCGAGTGGCTTTCCGTGCGCTGTCAAAAAGGGACAATTGTTGCCCCATGATACTGATACTAACATCTCGTTTGGTGACATGGTAACCCAGCCGTGAACTTACGCAGGAGCTGACGCAAAACGCGAAAAACTTGAAGCATGGTTTCCACGAAATTGCGAAACATCCCCCACTGGATTTTTTTTGGAAATTCCTTGTTGAATTTATTGTCTAGAAATATCAGCATTTCTTTCCGGCCCAGTTGAGATCATAAATCGCACGTTTTGTGTGTTAAGAGTATTTGGCTTGTGTCAGGGAAGGGATTTGGCAGTAAGGGGATGAAAGGATGCTATTTTCGGTTGCGTATTTTTAGTTCAGACCTTTACAAGTGCAATGGGCTAACTATTAATTACGCGCTCTGGCCGGTTTAATCGTAGATTATGTCCAGAAAGGCGCGTTGAAAAAGGAGATGGAAGAGCCTGCCAAAATTCTTATTTTGTCAGGTTTCTCGTGAAGTTTTCAGATCAAGTTTTAAATGGCTCTAGAAAACTCACGCGCTGAATAACACGAACGGAGTGATAAGAATCTGACAATCCGTCCATAAGTCAATCAGCGAGCCGTGAGTGCTGACTGCGAGTTATGCTAAATCTACTATTCATTATCGCGGTAGATAAGCTCTCGGCCGGTCACGCCTACTGACAGTGTCAGAAAACCGCCGAATCATGCCTCTCAGATTCTTCACTCGCGCGCCCTATTGTGTCCTGCGTCAGATAGTCTCATGGCTTCTGATTATTTTCAGTTCCTATCAAAAGCCGATTTTGTGATGAGTCTATTAAATTCTGGGTGCTCAGTAATCTTCTGTCTGCCTTATTCACGGCTATTTTGTTCTTTAGTGTGGTGTGACACATACAAAGCTCGAATTCGTCACCTTTGTTTTCTTTCGAATCAAGCGACAATAATAGTTTAAGTTCTTGTTTTTTCAGGGTTTTCCCTGTAAATTCATCCTGTGAAGGTAAAATCGAAACAGTAATTAATCAAACATTCGCTAAAGGAATCAGTTTGTGGCATTAAAGACCGATGTACCCCACATGTTACGGGTATTCACTTTTGTCCTTGTCAGAATTCCAGATGGTTCCCTATTGTCCCATTTCAGGACAAACCTAACCAAACAAAAAACACCAGCGTTCTCATAACCCAATTTGCGGTGTGAACTCTTGAGATTCGTAGTCTCGGGTGAAAGCGCTGAGCGTGAAATAGCACGCATGGTTTTGCGCTTTGTAAAGGTCTCCGTTACAAACAATTAGTGCTTCTCTTGTGGCAGGTCGCCCCCGCGCGAATACTTTTTGGTTGCGCGTATCATAAGCTGAACAATTGCTGCTTGTTGAAATGGTGTTGACAGCAGAAATAATGCAATTGGTTAAAAACGTAAATGGGCAATGAAACGGCAGCTCTGTTCAGCTAATGGAGTAGTTGACTGTGTGTGGCCTTCAGATAGTAGCGCTCCCTGCGATTGGCTAAATCGATGCAGTAAAAAAATTGCATAACCGACAAGGTACATAACTGGTGTAATTCGATCAAGAGGTGACAAACGAATTTACATCTTATTATAGTGTGTCTAGTGCGCGTGACTCGTGCAAAGAACAGATATCAATCAAAGTGCATGCAAGGGACGCTTTTATCAAATCATTTACGTCCAAGTTCAAAGCGGGCATAGTTTTGAGTCGTGATGTCCATGTATCCTTATCCCGCCAACTCGCCTGCCGCAAACAACAACATGATCGCTCCTATGTACGGAAATCAAGGCTACGAATTTTATCGACCCGGCGCGTCTCCTTACTCTTCAGTTCATTTTCCCGTTTATCCCGCACACGGACAGTATCAAGCGAGGCAAGATCGTCTTTATCCTCCTATTCCACGCACTCAACATGTGCCGCATCAGAGACACGAGATGGTCAAGCCGCCGTATTCCTACATCGCGCTGATTGCTATGGCTATCCAAAGCGCGCCAGAGAAGAAAATAACACTTAGCGGAATATATCAATTTATCATGGACAGATTTCCGTATTATAGGGAGAATAAACAAGGCTGGCAGAACTCTATTCGACATAATCTCTCCCTCAACGAGTGCTTCGTAAAAGTGCCGAGAGATGATAAGAAGCCTGGCAAGGGAAGCTTCTGGAGTCTGGATCCCGAAAGTTTGAACATGTTCGAGAATGGAAGCTACCTGCGAAGACGAAAGCGCTTTAGGAAGAAGGACAAGGCAACATCAGAAAGCAGCAACAGCGCCGAGAATCAAGACAAAAAGGAGCATAGCACTTCCGCCGACACAAAGACAACAAGCTCTGAAAACTCAACAACAACTTCCGCTCCACAAGAAAAGACTAAGGAGCGTGAAACGCTGTCAGCTAGCACGCAGACCGCTCGGGCAGAATCACTCGAGTCAGCTTCAAAATCAGAGGGTAAAGTGACGCCTGCCGCCTCAAAGGCCAGCCCACCGTCCTGCAAACGAGAGTGCATGGTAAGCTCTGAGGAGGGTGAGCTTGCATCAAGTAGTTCTTCTAATGATATCAGCGGTGAACATCCTCACGCTCCGACGCCGCCGTCTTTCCCCACAGTTCCACCGTGCACAATTTACGAGAACGCATACGGGTTGAACTACCCCTCCTATCCACAAAACGGGCAACAAGGCAGTGGCAGCTACTCCAGCACACCGTACGCAGTGTGTCACTCTCCTTCCTACGCCAGCTCAAACACGCCCAATGGCAGGGCTTACGTTCACCGCTATGAGCCTCCGATGAGTCCCGAGCACCCTCCTGTTGTCCATGGCCGATACTCACCTCATTTGAGCCACTACAATCAGCAAGCTACACAGAGCCAGCACGTAGAAGAGGTGCAAGTACACCGCCAGCAATACGCAGCGGACTACGAACCAGCGGCTAGAGCGGGACAGTGGTACTCTTCTTCGAGCTACCCGGGCAGCGAGCCGCCGGTTTCCAGCGCCCACAACTGCTTCCCAAATGTACGCGAGATGTTTGAATCGCAGCGACTGATCGCTCCAGCTGGTGGACAAGCTGTACCGGCGGCCATGCAAGCCACTCAAGGTCAGTTTGGAAGTACTAGTACTGCTTATCACTCGGCAAACGCTGCGTCAGTGCCTCAGTACTCTCTTTGATCTTTGATTGTGCACTGAACTAAGAGTATTTTAAGACAAGACACTGTGGATAGGCGTAGCACCTTTCGGGGCGAATATATTTGTAGCCACTTAGTGTTTTGTACGATTTGCTGAGTAGGAACTGAATACTTAAGACAGATGTAAAAAAAAGAGGAAGACTATTTGTGACCATTCTTGTAGGCGAGGTGTTATTTAGAACCGTGACGACAAGAATATACTATAAAATTTTGCGCGATCTAAAGTTTGCACCAAGCGTTGGCTTTTTTTTCCTCATTGATTTTCGAGTTTCGTTCTTAGCGCCAAGTGTTTGACAGTTGATTTGTGTACCGGTGAAGTTTGTTTTTAGTCAGGCTTAAGGGCAACAAGCGATGTTTTCTTTCTACTCGCCCTTCACAAGTGTTCCACTGTGTCGCCCACAGCGCTCACAGTATGAGAGAGTAATCAATCGAGTCCAGCTAAATACTTCGTCATCAAACCCGCTTTTCCAAACCGCAAGCTGCCAGTCGTGAAGACCAGCACGCAAGTAATTACGGATGTTTTATGCGTGTTTAAAAATTTTGAGCCAAAAAGTGTTGCAAACCGATGGAGAGGTATTCAGTGCGAGGGTGTGTTTAAAGAACTGCGTGCAAAGGGAAGCTTTGTTTTGTAATCAAACTTATACCAGCAATTATGTCAGTGATTATAGTGATAGCTAGCCTAGAGCAGCCTTGTAAATTAACGCGTAGAACTAAATGTACATAGCCCTCAGAGATTTTGTTATATTTAATGATGTAGAGCTATTTTTTCCAATCTGATTTATTCTTGATATAAAATCCCAAGAAAAAAGCAAAAGCGATTAGTTTTTCTAAGACAAAATAGACTTTGTGTACATGATTGTACTCATACTTTTGTTCGCACTTTTTTCACACCACTTAGTAGTCAAGCTGTACAGACATGATTTGCATGCAATTTTACAAAATAAAATTGAGGAGATTTGACAACTCTTGCACACATTCTTGCGTTCTTCGTGTGGAGTTTGTTAGGTTTTGTCCCCAAGTGCATGATTTCGTTGGATTAGCTAATCAATCACGCACTTTTTTCGGTCACATTTACCTGTGCGCCCTGATCACAACAGGTTAGTTCAACCTTTAACGCTGAAAGCGATGAAACCTACTGTGAACCCGTTCAAAAACCAAAACCAACGCAAAGAATTTCATGCGAAGAACGAAGCAGGGTCTCGAGATAAAACGTGAGAAATTCCACAAGTCTCCAACAACGGTATTAAAAGCTTAAAGCCAGCTAGATCTCTTTATTGGTTTCACCCCTTCTGTAATCCTATGACTCATTTGCCTCCATCGCAACTAAGCTAGCAACAGGAAAGGGCACATTTTTAATTTTTCGACTCCATAACATTCACGCAAGACGGAAGGCATGGGAGAAATTGTCTGTAGCTTTAATTGCCGTTCGCTCGGTGTGGTCGTGATATCTTTACGCGTGCCGCAAACCACTTGCTGAAACCTTGATAAGGCGACCAAACTTTTCATCAACACTGAATTCTTGCGGCAAACCAACTCTTTTTATTATCAAACAATGGTAGATCATCAAACGCGACTGTTCGTTGTTGCGTTTTCTGCTCTCTCTCCCCACATTGATAGTTTGTCCACAGCAGGGTGGGCATGATCGGAAGATAGATAACTTACGCTAACTTAATTTAACTTGAATGATATTATCTTTCGTAGTCCAGGCGCAAAATAACTAGGGGTAACTTCTTTTAACTTCTCCCTACTACTACATTTACGGTACATTGTTCGGTACAATGTTTTACAATTTCCTCAGCTGCGCGTACTATTTATAAACGTTATAATCGATAAGTTTAAATCGTGCATGGATTTGTTGTGTCATGATAGAGTGTTCCGGCCTCTGACTTGACTGAAGTGATCCATCAGTCCTCCACCCCTCTTCTCAATTCAGTCAACCCTCCATGTAAGGAGGATCTTATGCACAGTGCAAAGGGAATTCCATGTTTTTGTTTTTAGACCGAATGTAAAGAAAATCTTGTAAGGGAAGGAAGTGTACTGGGGATGTGGTCCTAGAAAATTTCTTGGATCAGAAGACTGATGTTCTCATTCTTCTGATTATTCCCCTTTTCCCTCTGGAACAAACTGTACGCGTTTATGTTTCCTAAAAATGCTAAATCTGTAGCAGCTATTTGTAGTTGTGGTTCTAAGCGCCGGAAAATTTGATAAAGCTACTACTAAAATTCCACAGAAGAATAAAAAAAGATTACTGAGAGGGTGTCAAATGCTCGAAGATGGAATGGGTACACTTAGCACCGTTAGAAGTACAGGAGTTGAACCTACTCACTGTACCAAGCAACCAAAAATTAAAATCCCTTGAAGAAACCGCGTAATAAAATTTTACGTGATGATTCAATGATGGCGCTCGTGATATTTTGGGTGATTGATCTCTCTCGTTCATGCCACTCCCTTGCTCCACATTCAAATCAATCTTGGTCGTCTGTTGGTTGTTGTAATCCTTCGTCGCGACCAGCTGAAATCCTTCTTAACGGTTTTGCCTCATCTTAATTTGTTTGAAACTGGACCCGATACTTCCAGAAATGCAGACTATGACGCACATTTTCACAACAGAGCCAGCATAAATGATGAATTGAACCATTTCCTCCATGCATATAGGTTTATTTACACACAGAGACCACACACTTCATTATCCTGTGGTCTGGTTGTTGAAATTAAGGTTCATTTGAATGCGTACCCCGCTCAATGTTCAATTTATATTGTAATATCCTAAGCTATCCAAAGGAGCTCAAACAGGCCTAACCGTTCGTTTTCTTTGGGCTCTCAAATGGAAACCATATTGGATTTCGAGTTTATTTATCGATTTAATCGTTGCATGAAGAAACAACAATTCTTACACTGCTTTATCTATAAAAATAGCTGTTTTTCAATTTTTCAACCGAGACATAACATTAAATAAGTTCGGTAAATATTTCTGATTACAAAATCAGTTGTTAATAAACTTCTAGGAAGGCGAACTCTCTTTGAAGTTGATCACGGTAAATGTGTAGTTCTGAGATAGTTTAGGACAGGCGTCGTCAGTAAAGTCCTGACTTGGTTACAACCCTCGTATACAAGTACAAATACGTTAACATCACCGATACAATTATGATAATCAGAGTCGAGCAAAAGCCATTTTATTTATGTGCAGTTATTTTATCGACCTGTTTCGAGGCACAATTAGAGAAAAAGAATAGACCTAGTCGTTGCATTGATTTAGAGCCGGTTCCACAACGGAGGGTTCGTTGCTGCTTATGTGACGCATCGCCGAGTCTCTTCGTTAACATCCTTTCTCCTCCGAAGAGACCCAACCTAAAAGTTAAAAGACAAAACCGTTTTGCGCCGTTCGGAAGCACCACTAAGTTCTGCTCAATAGCTTACAATTGAATGGTTACTGGGTTTTATCCGAGGTCTAAAAAAAGTTAAAGCAATATTGACCCTTGGAGTGAAAGATTTTTTAACACTTCAGACCTTTATTTCTATAACTCAACTAAACTGACGAACAGTTGTCTTCCAGAGACTGAGGTGTTATAGAACCAAGAGACAAGATAATTGTTAAAGATTCTTTATTTGAAAGCTCACAAGACTGAAAATTGCCGTCATGGCCAGAAATGGAAATCAATCGTATACTAAATCAATCTTGAATGTTTGTTTGTAACGTTTACCTGATTCCATCGTCAATTTAGTCCACATAAAGGACTTTGTTTTGATGCTGTAGCTCAGTGACGATAACATTACTTTTTTCCAAAACCTAGCGTTTTACTTTCCTAATCAGTAGGACTGTGTTCCATGCACGTATATAGTAAATTGTGTTTCTCGCTAGTATCAAGAGAGGATTGCTTAGTATTTATTAATTAATTAGCATGCCATTTATTTGTTACACAGTTTAATTCAGGAGCTGTAGAAATGTTCTTCATCAGTATTAAACCGTTGTGAACCTCACTTTCCCATGACAGAAACCAGAAAATCCGGCTTCTCCAGCTATGCCTTTTCGGCTCTTGATTTTGGTATTTACATCACTTCTACCCGTTTCAGTTTTGCCACAGAAATTCCACATATCCCAGAATGAAACCTAAGTGCAGCAACGTTTTTAGCGACAGAATTTATTTTATGTGGAATTTTGTCAAGGTAACGTATCCGTGCGCATATTTTTATCTATAAGAAGTTAATGGCTTGAAATAATCTGAAGTCATCCCCTCTAGGAATTTTAAGGATTTAAATTATTCTGAGGCATAATTTAGATCATTTTAAATAACTGACCACACAACGCATTTGCTTGCATATTTTTGGCACAAATGTAAAATCCTTCAAAGTAGCAAAAACTGAGTTATCTCGCCTTCTATTTTGAAGAGAAAACGTGATGTAAAAGCAAGTTATGGCACTGAATCGACTTTATAAGATCATGTACCCACATCAGGTAGCCACGTACGTCTTGGCCGCATACACGAACCTCGTTCAAAGATACTTTACAGAACAATCAAAATCATTGAAATGAGTTTCGCTGACTAGCTTACCTCGCGAAATTTGTTTCTAAACCTCGTGGTTTTTGTTAGTCTTGCAAAGAGTCTGCGTTTTGTTAGCCAGAGTTAATGCTGGGCTGTCGTTCGGGTGCTGTAAAGCGGTAGATTAGATGCACATTTTGAGATAACGTCCTGCAGTGCGCTCATAACAGGTCGGTCGGTCTCTGTTAGTAATTATTCGGTAGACTGTCGCTATTAGCTGCTGGTTAATTTTAGCTTTCTACCTGTTTTCCGCGTGATAAAAATCACCAATTTCGTTTCCACAGCCCTGCATTGTCCGCGCGAAAAACCTCTCTGTGGGTTTGTATACCCGATCGAACTACATGTCGATTGAGAGAATCCACCGGGCAGGATTTGTGCCAAGTTTATTTGTTGAGCAAACATGGCCCAAAGTGCTACAAAAACAGTGTAACTAACTTAGCGGTTCGCTATCTATTTAGACTGTTGGATGTTGTTAAATAAGATCAGTAAAGAATGTCTCAAGAAGGACGTTTTGCTCTCGAGACGTTTGTGAAGCCTTCTTGAACGTCGTGTTTTCTGTAGTTAAGTAAGATGTCGCTAATTGATCTAAATTACTTCGATGGCGAGGAAGTTTTTTATGAGGAGGATTTGGGCAGTCGAAGATAAACAGCGCTCGTGTCTTAGTTAAGCGAGGAAAATGTACAGATTCATCCACGGCAATGTTCTGTTAATTCTCAGCTGTGGGTGCACGGAAAGGAAAATGGAAGACCGAAAATTTCCTCAATTTTATGTTCCATGACCTTTTACTGTTTTCTGATTCGGTTACTAGGACATCGTTTTGTATTAAGGAAACACTTCATTAGGGATTTACACAATTTGTTGTCAATTGTGTGTTACAAAATATTTGTAGCTGTGAACTTTTGCGCGATTCCAGTTAAGCCTATAAACACCTTTTACAAGGCCTCCCACTGTATCTCTATCAATCTGTTGTTGCAAGCTTTCAGTTTTTAGTTGTGTATGAAAACACTTATAAGCACATTTTGAATCAATTCACGATGCATAGCGGATGAACGCGCTCGTTCTGTCCTTGTTGCCGTAATTGAAGTTATACGATTACGCGCAGTCAAATGACAGATGGTAATGACGAGTTCAGAGAACCGCCAGCAATTAATCTGGCAGATGAAAGATGCAGAAGTTATTTCTGGCTTGAGAGACCCTGTTCTTGTATCAACGTGTTCTAGGGCTTCCGAGATAAAATCGCTACTGAAAATAACAATCTCCATCGACTTATAGCAAATCTGCTCTGTGGCATCGACACGTCGAAGCATGCGTGTCTTTTTTAAAAATCCATTACAGTATCCATTTTTTTTTCGGCTGGCAGAAGTTTTACTCGTGTAAGAAGAGAAACCGGCGGATGTCCAAGCAATTACTTTACGACAGAACTGTTATCTTACTTTGGTGGGTGGCATTCTCATTAGAGAAGAAGTAAATGGCTCGGTTTGCGCCAAAAAATCCGTCTTCGATAACACTGGTATGGCGTTAGCTTCCCTACTTTCTTAGATTGCAATGATTTCGTTTTAGGTTCTAGCCTGTCGTGATCTTTCTATTTTATGCTAACTTGTACCGCGTTGTTTCTCATTTTGGGAAATGAAGGATATGGAAAGGTTAATGGCAAAACGAGCTGTCTTAGGCGTTAAGTATCGCACTCCGCTGTAATTGGCTATTAGTCATCAAAACACAACAGTGGGCCAAAGGTTGCGGCTAACGCATCAATTAGTGTTTAAATCCTTTGACAAATTAGCCTTTCATGAACGTAACTCTAGAAGCAGATATGGTTTCTTTGCAAAAGAAAATAAGCAAAATGCTTCGCTTAACGTTTTGGAGAATATCAAGTGACACTCGACTCCATTGTGATATAGCGCGTTATCACAACGGCTGCCCTTCAAATCGTTGTGGTTCCTGATTCTTTGAACACGTGTTGCATTAAAATCAAAATGCGCAGACTGCTTTCAGTGTGTACGCCATTATGCCGGCGAGAAGACATGTGCTGGCGGCTTCCAGTGGCCGGCCATATTTGAAGTTCAGAGTATAATATAAAAGGTACACGTGCTGGAAGCGATCGAAGACAAAACGCTCCATCATGTGGTACATTAACACATCTGCTCATTTCAACGTCTTAAAAGGCCGCTTTTCAAAAACTGAAAGATTACACGCTCGTTATTGGTATGTCTTGTATCGCATCCGTGATCTTTTGATGCCTTATCGGTACTGCTCAGTTCACGTCAAATGGTCACGATGGATTCACGTCAAAACCTGACTGGTTTTGCACCAGTGTACATGTAGCGAAATTGTTTCATGAACGTTTTTAGCAGACTCTAGAACTGGGTGAGAGGTTTCAAATGAGATGCACTGAGCAGAAAAATTGGGCGTTGCTTTCGGTCAGGCGGAATTTTTTTCCATTGCTGGATATCTTTATCTCTTTATCACCAGTTAGCGGCTTTCATTTTTAAAAGCTTCACAAATTGATTGCTAGCCTTCAAGAGACAGAAAACACATCTGCTTCGCTGTGCGTTCTCAGAGTACCTAAATGACAACTAGAAAAAATAATTTACCAATCTATTTTGGGAAAGTTCCTTTTTATTTTCTCTCATTTCTTGAAGGACTTGGTGAAAATCGTGCCTGTATTTAGTTATAGCTTGTTTGCTTTGATAAAGAAATCTCATCCCTGTGACTTTATTTTTAGTTGGCTGACAAAATTATTTTCTCTCTCCTTCAAACCGACCTAAATAGGAAGTTTAAACATCGTTTATTTTACCTCGACGAAAACTCGTGATTAACTCGTGAGAAGTTATTTCCGGATTCTTGCCAAATGCGTCAGGTTATGAGAAGGCATGGCCACTGACGTGGGTCCAACATAGGTGTGTCTTGCCCCATGCCCATTGATGAAAAATGTTGACATATTTACAGAAGGGTTGTGGGCGGGTTGAGAGTGACTGTTTGGCTAGAGTGTCAAACGATTGCAAAACTGGACCTACTAAATTCCATTCTAAGAAATATACCAAGTTGAATAACCTAATACAGGGCATGTTTCTACAGGTTCAATCGATGAAGAGTTTGCTATTCAGTAATTAGATAGATGTGGAGCAACATTCACTATATCAACCAGTCCTTATCCCGCTCTTTTTAGCCCCTTCTGGTCAGAGTGCGTGACTCTACAGGTTCGATCGTTTCAGAGCGTGCTATTCAGTAAATAGATTGTGGAACAACATCGTTGTAACTCTACAAACTATGCCTTCCCCCTCTTTTTAAACTTTTTCTGACCTCTGCTATAAATGGTTACAGACTCACACGCTGTATGAGTAGTTTCAAAAGCTTTTTACTATTTTACTCTACAGAAAATTATTTATGTCTTGATGATTTTGATACTTTTGTTGTAGTGTTTTTTCTGAGAATTTCGTGGCACATCGAAGAACTTGTCCCTTATTAGTTGACGATGTTCTCTATTCTCGTTGTCTGTCTTCTTATTGTCTCGATATTACCGAAATCAGTAGAGAAGTAGTTGTTTAATATAACGTTTGGTAATAGTGGTCAATGTATGTAAGGAATGCACTTCATGGCTTAGACAACTTGTTTGTCACTGAATATTCCGCGCTGGAATAACGTTGAAAGAAGAGGTTCAGTCAGTGGGGGACTTCTGATCGGATCGGATCAAATGGGCTCTATAAAGTCTACGAGTTAAGTTGTGGTCTAAAAGAAGCTTTGATCACAGATTGCTTTGGTATTCCTGTCTGATTTTTGTTGATTTTAATCTTTGTTTTTCCTTCTGTCGTGAACGTGAGGCCGCAGCTATTTTTTTTTTGTCCTTAGGAATCAATACAAATCCGCTCTGCGACGACAGTGGTGTTTGCTAACGGCGAAATCCGTCTCGTCGATGAAACTTATGCCCAGAAAAAAAAGACGTTTAAATTGCACGAACTGGTTGACAGTGAAAAATGTTCTGACGCACTGCCTTCTGACAGACGAGATGGGGGGTGGGTAAGAGGGTCAAAGCAGAGTGCTGAAATATAGGTCTACTGCATTCCTTCCCGTTAAAAGGCAAGCGCCTTTTCTGTGTAAGAAAAAGTTACTGGTTTGAAAAGATTTTTCGATTTTGAACGCAGATTTGGACTCGCGTCTCCCCTCCGCCTGACAACTTCGAGATAGAGCGATCAGTGTATAACAGTTCATATATTAAGAGAGTTCCTTTGAAAAAGCAAATCATGATAACGACTCTTTTCCAGTCTCGTTTCGTTGGCAGTTTGAAAACGTACCCAAGTCTGTCCAACCACTCAATAAAATAAACGTTCCCTTTGTTTGTAGGTCACCGTCATGTATGTTTTTTGAGCGGTTTTAGACTAACCGTTGGCGTTGAACACTGTAGACAGATCTGTGCAGAAACGTGGAAAACCAACTAAGCTCAACTTCTATGGGCGGTCTGATTTTGTAGAACAGTGCGACCGGCACGAGATAAATGACAGGAATCCATTAGAACGAGAGGATAATTTATATTAGGAAGGCTAGAAATCAGGACTACAGTATAAACATTCCACAAACTTTCTGACTCTCTTCACGAGATTAGATTTGGTTGAGTTGCAAACAAACTTAAACATGGCCGTCAAAAAACTGTGTCCTATCATTTAGTTATACAGAGAGATTTGATGCATAAAGTTCAGTTTTCCATAATTACGTGAACATTTCCTCTATTCATTACAGTTTCAAGGCAATGCCCGATGGCGTTTTTTCTCTCTTTAAAAGAGAAATGTTGTGACACTTTGATTCATCTTTGCTGAGCACAAAATTACTTTCGAAAAAAATAAAAGGAGCATTCAAAATTATACTGAATTTGCCACAGTAAAAAAAAAGTGAGCTCGAACAAGGATGGTCAAGATTGGGTGGGACAGATTGATATTGACTACAGCTAAGAACTTGATGAAATTTTCAAGATGGTCCAAAACGACCACCGACCTCACTTCTTGAAATATTTAGCCTAAATGTTTCAAGTTTCGTTTGCAATCCGTGTTCATCTTCTCCATCCTTAACCATCCTTGTACCTTAATGGTTTATTACTATCTCCTTGCTGTTTTTCTCTCGTAGTAACCTACTATTTTTAGGTGTCCTTCATTTTTAAGGTAATTTTGTACGTGGCCAAAATGTCATAATTGACCTCACTTAACGAGCGCCGCAACTTTGAAAGAGCTACGTCACGGACCGCACATCTTGAAAACAGTTGGCCAAGTTTTTCTTCAAATTTGGTGTTTGTAATCAGTCTAGATCGTTTTCAGTTGTGGCCATCCTTGTTTATTTTCGGTTTTTTTGTGACAGTTTTGGTGTTATTCTACCTTAGGAAATAATTATTTTGAGATTTTCTTCAATTTAAAAGTACTCAGAAACTCACTTGAAATATCGAGCCGCTTTCATCCAACTTTGCGGTCATGATTACTTAAAGATGGATGAAAAAACACCTCATCTAAAAACGCTCACGAACAGCGCTCGAAAACAAGTCCATCTGAAATATAACTTACAGGAGGTGATTAAGATCCCTGCTGGCTCCGTTTAACTAATTACGTTTGTTACAGTATCTTGAATTCCTTTATTTTCCTAAAACCAGTTACTTTTACTATGTAAACTTCCTTTCCTTCCCTTTTGTCTTTTCTTTATCAATAAACAGTCGCCTAAAGAATTCACTGAAGTAATCATTTCTCAGATGGGAACTGTAATTTGACATTTTTAAACGTAAATTTGAGAACAGAAAATATCGACTAAAAGTAACACAAACCCTGCAAACAGACATTGTAAAACAGTTTCCGACAGTGATCTTTGAGAGAATAATACAATAACATTGCGAAAGAAAGAACCCTTTACCGTGAAATTGTGTGCTGTGCACGTGCTATTAGAACGTTTGAATTCCTTTCCAAATTTAGAATAAGCATTTCAGTATCATTGCACATTACTGACTCATTGCTGGTTGTGTCTCTGCATGTTTGAAATTTGTTATGTTTATCAACTTCAATCATGACATATAAATGGCCTGGAAACGTGAAGAAAAATTATTTTTCTATGTAGAATGTTTCAATTGCTTTTTATGTTCGTGGGACATCATTGTTGAAAAACACATTTACTCCGTACCGGTCTCAGTTTACTAAGAAAAGACAGTTTAGATTAGAACTCGGTTTCGAAAAAAGAAGGGTCGGAAAATAAAGCTTTCATTGGATGGTCTGGTCCGGAAAAACTGTACCGCGAAAACTTAAAATCGTCTCAACATGATCAAGAGGATGATTGGCTACTAATTATATACACTCTTTTTTTAAGAGTGTAGGTAATAAGAATATCTAGGCTGAAATTTGCGAAATTTTAAGAATTTTTTAAGAGTAAACCTGAGGCTGAGATTTTGAAAGAATATAATTTTGTGTGTTGAAAATATAATTCTTCCTTTCTCTAAAAGGCAAAACAGACCAAAAACAGCACTACCGTATGTTCGATGCTAATACCATTTCTGCAAGAAGGTATGTGCTTCATATCAGGCTTGACTGCCTGCAGGTTGGCTCCAAAATTACTTTAACACCATCCAGACACAAAATACATTCGAAAACAGAAACGCCATACGCTATTAAGTGAGAATATTCACAAGAATATTTTCAGCCTAAAATCGGCAAAAAAAAAAGTATTCTGCGTCAGCCGGAAAAACAATATCAGTCTTATAAAAAGAGAGGGTATATAGAAACCTATAAACTGGAGAAGGTCGACCCTTGAATAGTCTAACTCAGTTTTAAAATCGATATTTTCATTTAATGTGTAACTGCTGGTTGTTGCTAAAGCAGTGAGATTGCACACTCGCGGTTTCTATCAACTTTAATAATTGACCCAGGTCTGAAGTCACTCGCCAGTTATCGGTCGAAAGATATGTATGTCGCCAATGGAAAGCTAAAAACGGAGCCAACCCTTTGCGTTTGTTTTTCGAAATGGTCTGACGTTAAACGTTGCTTATAGATCAGGAATCCTGGTGCGAAATTGAAGAACACTCATTCCTACTTTGGTCTTACCAAGAGAATATGATCATAATCTCTTGGTCTTACTTTGTGCATTGATTAGTTTAGTTTATTATTATTTTTGCCACATTATAGATATATTTTCGACCTATTAATCCATAAGGCCAAGAAGCCCAGGGAGGCCAATAAGGCTTATGTAAAGGACTACCTTTAGAGATACCTGATGCGTCATCGGCAGGCCAATTTATCTAAATTTGTGGATGCATGTATATTTTCTGACACACACAGGACACACAAAGTGATCATAATTTAGGATAAAAAATAGTTAAGCAAGCTAAACGCACAGATGCGCAAAAGCGATGGAAGAAATTAAAAGCAAAAAAAGCACACAAACACACTACGAAAAAGTAACATATGCTTGTACCAAGAAAGATGTCTTAAGTTTAGAAGTGAACACAGCAATGCTAGAGGTGTTTTGATGTATCTGTTACCTAAGGTTTTTACGTATCGTTTGCTCAGTTCGGTTGCTTAGTAACTACAAGATGTGCATTGCATGCTGGGGTGGAAGGATCGTCATTGCTTGGTTCTTCTTTTAGCTCTAACCTCACTTCTCAGATGGAAGCTGTAAATTAGCATTTTTAAACGTAGATTTCAGATCAGAATATATCAACTTCGAGCCACAAACTCTGATGTTGTAAAACAGTTACCAGGTTACCGTCGGAATTCTTTAAGAGAATAACAAAGTAACAATAAGAAAAAATAATCCTTCGGCGAGAAATTGTGTGCTGTGCATATGCTATTAGGACTTTCGAATTTAGAATTAGTATTTCAGTATCATGATACATTGCACATTATTAACTCATTGATGTGTATTTGTTTCTGCAGGTTTGAAATTTGTTGTATGTTTATGAACTTCAATTATGACTATTGCCAGTTGCTGTTGGAAGCATTTAATTTGTTAACCCGTCAATACAGTTAAACCCTTTAGTATCAGCTTCTTTGTTGTCATGGCTATTATTTTGAGCAATAGGATCACAGAACTGAAGAGATTAATAACCATGTTGGAGATCACTTATGTCCCATTTCTTTTGTGTTATTGTAAGACTTTGTATTATTTACTTTAACCAGGCCGCGAGTATTAATAAGTCGTCTCAATTTACACGTTGCCCTTCAAACACAAAAATGGTAGGCCCTGTCTCCTGCATCTTCAGTGTTACATGGTTAGCAGGGGACGTTTGAACCCACACACCTATCGCAAAGAGTAATGCACGGAGTTCACGGTGTTGTGATCTTGCCTTGTCTTAGGGGTTGGTGTTTCACATAGGGTTACCGTCATTGTGCTTTTGTCTGTGTCTATGCGTAGCGCTAGAGCTGACCCTTCAATAGGGAAAAAGACGAAATAACAGTGGGAAAGCCTAACGAGCTTCAGGGCTTAACATTCCTCTCGCCTCTCTTCTTTTCTCTCTTTTGCTGTTCTATTTACTCACCATCCTCGCCTGGAAGTTACACCGCTTCCCAGAATTAACTAACAGTAGTACCCTAATGCAGGGTTGTGTTCTCAGTGGCTGTGATATATCGAAAAATGTGAGATGCCGCTTGGTATCCTGGCTTCTAAGGCATACCTACCTTAAAATTTAACACAACCTGGAAACAGCCAAATGATTCTCCACTCGAAGAATCATCAGTAGATTTGACGATACATTTCTTGGCGTAAACCTGAGGCGTGGGAAATTTCACAGGATGAAATTAAGTTAAGAAAAGTTCCTTGATTTGCAAATCAAATGGTTATCAAAGATAACGGCGCGCCTTTAGAGTCACTTACAGTCCTTCCTGTCGTTAAATCAACCAACGATCGAGATAACTTAATCGGGACTGAAAAAACAGGGCTTAATGAGCCAAATGGCTTCAAACAAGACCATGCAGCACTCGTACGGCGTCCAGGAGACTCCTGATAGATTGCAAACGACCTTCAATTTTCTCTTAATGTTCAGCTGTGCGGCCACCAGACATTTCGGCTACATCAAAGCTCCCTCCGTTTTTAGCTTTTTATTCCTTGTGATGAGCTTATAAATCTTTTAACATGCAAAGGTAACTTTGAGCCTGTTGAACAAGGCGACTCGTTATGCTTTCTTTCCTTAACCCTCATTCATTTTCCTATACACCACAGGTAATTTATGTCCATACGTTCAGTTTATAACAAAGTGTTTGTTGCATCGCCAGTTTTCAAAAGTCAGTCGAAAAAACTGCAGGGGCGGTATTAATTTTGCATGAAAGAACTGAAACTAATACAAAAAATTGAAACTTGGTGATCTAGATTAGACAGATAAAAAACTAATATGTCCGGCTCCGTCCAGTCCGCCATACGAAATTAGGTAGATTTGTTTTAAAATCATTAGAAATCCAACTCTCCTTCGGTGTGCCTTTGATTTCAAAGAACTGAACTTATTTCCATCTGATTTTAAGACTTCAAAAGACTACGTAATGGAAGGTGTAACTGGATTCCCCACTTAGGGTTTGTTTCAATTTAGAATTAATCTTGTTGAATTCTTGTTTTTCAAAACAAACGCATGTTTTGAAAACACACGTTAATGAAGATGCTAAATGAACTAAACAAATTATAATCGCTTGCAGGTGTGCTGGAGTGTTTTTGAGCTTGTCAAATCTCTGGTTATCGATTTAACTTTATTTGCGTTATGGAGATACTATTTGGCGTTTTGAGCCATCACAATATGAGTTATTACTTTGGAGAAAAGAAGAATACGAATGTCAAAATTAGAAGCAGCTATTAAATCTCTAAGAAATGCTATACTTTGTTAGCTGTATTTTTTCCTTGTTGGTTGCAAAAATGTTGTAACTAAACAAAATCATGCCTTGTCAATGTAGGAGATTGGGTTCACGTTACAAGACAATGAAGGTATTAAACCACAAATACTAAGTTATCAACACTTCAGATACCGCTGCAGTCCATCCGCCTGTTCCTTTTCTCTCCCCGATCCCGCTGGTCGCTGATCCCGCTCGTCGTCCGCCCGCTTTTTCGATCGTCCCCACAGACTGAGAGCCTGGAACAGGCTACATTCAACGATAAATGCTTCTCTTAGAGCCAATATGTGTACAAATTTATATCTCTTATTCATCTATCTCTTCATCTATTTTCTTTTTTATTTGAGTGTCCTCGTTTAGGTATTTGAGCTAAATACTCCGACACTTAAATAAAGATCATACATTCAAGGCATTTTGTGTACTGATACGACAATAAACGCTCCTATCTTGTAGCAAGTAAATGTTCCGTTTTAATCGAACAGTTGTTTTTACAAAACACACAACCAACAAAAAGGTTCGAGAGAACAACTGTGTCGAGGAAGCGCGAGAAAGCGTTATGAGGAGTTTGAGCCTGCGTTTTCCGTTTCAGGGTCACATGACTTGTTGAAGCATGCGTGGCAAGCATGCCCGTACGAATGAGAAGTTTCCCCATTTTGGCCGAGCGAAAACTGGGCCGGGGTGAGGGCAAAGATATTGGCAGGAGGGTGAGGAAAGAGGAAGGAACAGTTTGCGTATTTTCTCATTTTTTAAAAGTGGTGCCGTTGTGAATTGTCTGAAAAAATTTATAATTTCGCGCCCGCTGATATATTGACAAGGTGATAGCTGAAATCGATGGGTGTTTTTCAGAAACGTGGAGTCCGCTGGCAAGAGTTCATTCTCTTCTTCAGCTCCCTCTGCCATTCTTTTTGTGAGTGTGCTCCCAAAATGCGGGAACGCTTTCTAAGCAGGCTAACCTTGTTACAGCCACATTTCCAATTCGTTTCAAGGAACTTGGAGATCGAAAAAAAGAAAAGCCCTGGAAGCGAGACTACCACATCTCCAATTTCTTTCGAATCGGAGAGCACGCATCTACTATTGACTTACTGTTGTTGGACGAAAAGAAACCAGAACAACATGAATTAACTGCATTAAATGGTAATTGTGGTATAAACTATTTAGGGCAACAACTGCAGACCCTTAACGTATTCAATAGGCTATTTCCGAGTTACCTTGTCCCTCTGTTTCAAAACAAGTCCTCGTGCAAAACCTTTCATATGAAAGTGAGTTTGATTTGCATAAAAAAGAACCTGTAGGGGGAACAGATTTTCATATGAATGGTTGCGCACGACGATTCGTCTTGACACAGGTAAAATGCAACTCGGAAATGGCCAATTAGAAACCGCTTTCTAATACATTTATGATAATAACAATAATCAGTGGAAACATATCACTTTTTTATTTCAATTGATATTAGGATTTTCGTTATAGGGATCAAACCTTCTTGTGCAAGTTGCTCCGTTAGTGTTCCTCTCCTTGAAGTCGTATTCTCATTCTTATCGTGGCAAATATCTCATTTCAGTTTGAGAATAAATTTTTCGAGAGTAGCTATCACCATAGCCAACTTTGATTCTAACCACACTCCTACTACGCAATGCAGTTTAAAAAGTACTAAAACAAAAATATCACGAACGGCTTCGTCACAAAACAGGTCTAGTGTGACGTTAGCTTGTATTGAAGATTCTTGACATTGACCTTATTGTCGGCGTTTGTAAACCGTCATCTTTTGCTCAGCCTCATCCTTTTATCAGTTACTTAATAAGGTTTTACAATAACTGTAGAAATTCTCGCGCGCTCATTGGCTAATTTTCATTGTCGGTAAGCGGACAGACACATGAATTTCTAATTTATACGATGTTGTTATTGTAAAAAAAACAAATTGACGTCGGTTTTTCATGCATCTTTCCTGTTATTGATCATGAATTTCGTCATAACATTGTCAAATTAAGGACGGTGCCTACTAATTCCAAAGGTTTTTGCGCCAGGTTGGGACCACGCGGAAAAAGTAGATCTTTGCAAGGGCTATTGGAATCTACAAAGAAAAATGGGGATAGCCACGCATTTTTTCGAGATAATTAGCCTTGAATCTCAACAAAAATGCTGACATCGGCATTTTTCTGAAAAAAGAAGGAGAGGATATTTCTTCACAGATTTCCATAGAATTCGCCTTTACATACAGAAAAGCAAACACATTTAAAAAGATCTTTA